AACAGGACTCTGCAGAGTCAGAGGTGGAAACAATCARCAGCTGGATGAAGCTAATGAGGTTAATTAGCTTCAGATCAGGAAGAGGACTGAACCGGTCCTCCTCCTTTTTTACAAATTCCAGCAGCAGCAGAACCTCAGCAACAACGGGAAGAGGCCGTCCTCGCGCCGAGACCGGAACAAGAGGAGAGAGCGACCCGACAGGAAGTCTGAGAGCAGCCACGATGGCGGCGAGAGCAAAGAGAACCAGGAGGCTCAGCCGGACCCGCTGGGAGCGCTGTCCAAAGACGACGAGTCCAAAGTGGCTCAGGAGGCCAAGAGCTCGGGTCTGAAGAAGAGAGGAGGTGAGGGTGAGGATCTCCTTTTTTACTCGTTTTAAACTGCTGCATGTTTAACGCTGGAGTTCAGTTTGAATCAGGCTGATTTATTGTGGCTGAAGTGACTTTTGATTTTAAAATCTAAACCATGAAGCTGTGAGATTCTGCTGCTTTCTGAGTCTAAACCGCATGCTTGGTTTGGTTGATTTGACAAACTGCAATCATTTGAAATTATGAACGATTATTTGGGGAAAAAATCTTGGAAATGACTGGAAATTATACGATTTTAAAAAATCTGCCTCCCACCTAAAGAAGAGCACACAGACACTGAAAACTTCCCTCAAAAAGCTTTTATTTTTCACAGCTGATAACTGTCAYATGTTATAAAGTCACAATAAAACTTCAATGTTCAGATGTTATTTTACTGAAATACTTTGAACAATACAAACTTGTTTTAACTGGACATTAGGTAGCTCTCACAGCAGAGCAAAAGAAGAAAGTGGCTGATTTTCAGACCATAAACAGAAGGTTTTAAGGGCAAAATTGTAAATTAAACAGTTTAATCTGGAAACAAAACAAGTTTCAAAGGTTTTAAAATTAAAAGGAACTGAAAGTGACAGTGTTGTTGAATTCATTCATTTTTAAGAAATGAGTCATTTTCTTGATGAATCAGAAGTTCAAGTTTATTTCAAGTTTATTTCTATAGCTCCAAGTCCCAACATACGTTGTCTCAGGACACTGTACATGAAAAGAACAATGTAAAGAAGAAAGCAGCAGATTGTGTTGAATCACTTCATCACAGTCTCCCATCCTGAGCAAACGGTGGAGAGGAAAAACTCCCTGCTAATCAGGAAGAAACCTCCAGCAGAACCAGGCTCAGGACAGGAGACCATCTGCCTCAACGGGCTGGTTGGAGGACAGGAAAGAGACACAGACAAACACAGAAGAACTGGTCCAGGACTGGTCCAGAGGTAATGAAATAAGGCTGCAGGAGAAGAGGTGGACTAATAAATTTCTACCTGCCGGGGGAACAGTAAAAACAATCACAAATCCTATTTTTATTTGACAGAAAACATCACTGTCACCCATCGAAAACAATACTTTGTAAATGGAAATTATTAAAATTTCATGAGTTTGTTGATTATAACATCTTGCAGATATAAGACTCATAAATTCTTTTTACGTTTAAACATCCTGTTATATCTTAAGAGAGAAAGTTTATATAATCTTAAGGGACTTGAGATGTTTATTAAACCTATAATTCGAACAAATTTGAAGGATCGATGCATTTCAAAGGAACAAGATTGTGGAATAATCTGGAAAGTGATTATAAAAATGTTGGTTCAGTGTGTTTAAGAAAAAGATAAAAATAAGTTTGTTAAAGAAATATGAAATTGTATAATGTGTATCAAAAATATTTATATTTTGTTTTGTTTCTTGATTATTATTGATTGAAATTAATTTAGGAAAAAGGGGCAAATATAAGATTTTTTTTCTTCTGCCTCTTATTTCAAGTATGATTTTTTTATGTATGAATTTTTTAATTTTATTTTTAAATGAAATGAATAAATACATTAAACAGTTTCAGTCAGAAGTTTACATACAGTAGTTTTCCTCTGCAGAGTAAATCTTTACAGACAGACTTCACCAGGGGCTCTAAGTCCTGCAGAGACTCAGCTGCTAATGTTAGTGATTCCTGACCCAGACAACTTGTTGTCAGGAGCTAACGTTAGCGCTGAGGGTCAACAGAATGTAAACATACGGCAAGCCAGGAGGGACAAAATATAGAAACGCCCCAGCTTCATCACACAAGATGGCATGAGGAAAAATCCATCTTCTGTCCTGTGAATCCATTGTTTTCACGCAGCACTACACCAAAAGGTTTTGCTTGGGGGGCTTGTGAGGGTCCCCTCACCCACCCAACGCCTTTCACCGACTCTTCAGGCCTGGTTTCTGCAGGGTTTCTACTGATTAAATAAGAAAAACCCTGAGATGCCAGTTCTCCACGATCGACGATCCCACGTGCTCAATCAAACCCACGACTTGTTTTTTATTCTTTTATTTTGAAATCCTCTTTTCAAGGACCAGAGTTCTTCAAGCTGTGTTTCTGGTTACTGGCTTAGGTAACAAAAAAAAGTGGGTTTCTCTGCCGCTGGAGGAAGCGTCCCGGGACGACGCRCACAAGATGTCCCGCTCAGACGCAGACGCCGTCAGCAGCTCGCCTGACGCCACGTCGCCCAATCAAACGCTCCATAATAACAGACCGCATGACACCAACTGGAGTAAGTGTCTCGCTGTGCAGAGGTTTGACTCTTTCCTCACTCTGTCAGGCTGTTTTTTCTAACACTGATATTGTTTGGTGCATGATGGAATCAAAGCATGGCCTCTTCCAGTCTCTTCAGTAGTTTGGGGTTTTAATAGTTTATCATCCACCTAATTAATCTTTCTTTTCCTAAATAAGAATTGTGACAAGTTTGGTTCTGCGTTTTCAGGGTGGAGAGGGGAACCGCGAGACAACGTGGACGATGCCAGYGCCGTCCGAAGCGACGGGGGGATCCGTGGACGAGGAAAGGGTCGTGGACGTGGAAGAAGTCGTGGACGAGGTTTGTGTTTTTTTAGAGGAACGGCAGCGGTTACAGCATCAGTACCGAACCGTCTCCGGCTCCATACCAACGTCTCTGACTCTTTTATTCCCCCCCCTGCTTCCTCAGGTCGGTTCGAGTACTTCCGGGACTCACAGTCTTCCGACGGGTCTGCTCGGGCGCCCCCACCGTTCGGCACCAACATGGTTTATTATTACGACGAYGGAAGCAAGGTGCAGATGTACACGGTGGATGAAAAGCTGCTCAAGGAGTACATCAAACGGCAAATGTATGCATTAATTATGTTTCTTTTTCCTTTGAAATAGTAGATAATCTGTTAGGCTGCACGTTTGGAGCAAAAACAGTTTATTTAAAATTAATGTTGAGTTTTGGGAGTTTGAGAAAAAATGTTAAATTAAAAAAAAGAAAATATCAAAGTAAAGGAACTATATATATGCTCTGTTAGGATCACAGTCCAGCCTGTTATCTCGGTGGTAAAAGCCCAGTTGCAGCTTTAAACCTGAAATTCTGGCTTCCTTTAGTCCAGTTTTTGCGCCGGTTTTGAGCGTTTCTCAGCAGAGTTCGAAGCGGTCTGGACGAGAGCCGGCTCCTCGGAGTCTGGGTCCGGAGGTTCTTTACCAGAAAGAGGAAGAATGCTCCCTTTGGGTCCGGGAGGAGTCGTTGCCTCCAGCAGATATGTTGAAATATCTGTGTTTTTGTTCACAGGAGATAAATGGAACTTTATCTGTATTAATGAACGTGTTGCTCCGGCCTTACTTGGTGAAAGAGGAGCTGAACCAAAAGCTCTATACTAGTCCAGCTACGTTCCAAGCTTCACCTGTGGTCAGGAAATATGGATCCAAAATAAAAATGAGTCTTTATTTTAAACTATCGTAGACAAAATGTGAGAAAGCTCTCCTTTTATGGAATTTGATAAAGAGCTAAAACTAAACTGAAAGCAGGAAGTGGGCAACTGTTTACTAAAAGAATAGTAAAATGTGAGCTAATTGTTAGCTTTAAAAAGCTAAATATAACTTAAAAGTAAAGCATAGCAAAATACCAGTTAAAAAAGGGAAAACATTAGAAAAATTCTAGAAGTGACAAAATGCTAGTTTAAAGTAGTGAAATGCTAGCTGAAAGCCAGCGAAAGAGTAGCTAAATGTTAGATGAAAGTAGCAAAGGCTAACTAAAGTAGCAGAATGTTCATTAGAAGTAGCCAAGTGTTGGCTAAAAGTATCAAAATGTTGGCTAAAAGTAGCAAAGTATTGGATAAAAGTAGGAAATGTTGGCCATATGTAGCTAAATGTTGGCTATCTGTGGCTAAATGTTGGCTAAAAGTGCGAAATGTGGGCTATATGTAGCTAAATGTTGGCTATATGTAGCTAAATGTTGCTATATGTAGCTAAATGTTGGCTAAAAGTAGATAAGTGCTGGCTAAAAGTAGCTAAGTGTTGGCTAAATGTATGAAATGTTGCCTAAATATAGCTAAATGTTGGCTATTTGTGGCTAAATGTTGGCTAAATGTAGCTAAATGTTGGCTAAAAGTAGATAAATGCTGGCTAAAAGTAGCTAAGTGTTGGCTAAATGTATGAAATGTTGGCTAAATGTAGCTAAATGTTGGCTATATGTAGCTAAATGTTGGCTATATGTAGCTAAATGTTGCTATATGTAGCTAAATGCTGCTAAAAGTAGATAAATGTTGACTAAATGTATGAAATGTTGACTATATTTAGCTAAATGTATGAAATGTTGGCTATATGTAGCTAAATGTTGGCTATATGTAGCTAAATGTTGCTATATGTAGCTAAATGCTGCTAAAAGTAGATAAATGTTGGCTAAATGTATGAAATGTTGACTATATTTAGCTAAATGTATGAAATGTTGGCTAAATGTAGCTAAATGTTGGCTATATGTAGCTAAATGTATGAAATGTTGGCTATATGTAGCTAAATGTATGAAATGTTGGCTATATGTAGCTAAATGTATGAAATATTGGCTATATGTAGCTAAATGTTGGCTTAGAGTAGTAGAGTAGAGTATGTATGTCTCTTGAATGGTTGTTCTTAAATGTAATTTCGTTGTGCTCTGTACAATGGCAATAAAGGCATCATCAATCAGTCAATCAAAATACTTTCTTAAATAAGCTTTTAAAAAAGCTAAATGCTAGTTCGTTAAAAGTAAGAAAATGCTAGTTAAAACTAATAGTAGCAAAGAGTAGCACAATATTTGCTGAAAGGAGGGATAGTATAAAAATGTTGTTTAAAAGAAGCTAAACACTTATTTAAAAAGGAAAATATGAGTTAAATACCAAAAGTAATAAAATGGTTGCTAAAGACTAGCTGTAAGCTAAACATAGGTTAGCTAAAAGCTATGTGTAGCTAAAGACTATTTAAGAGTATCATAGGAGGTCAAAAATAATGCAAAAATACTAAAGGTGGTTTAAAAGAAACATTGTCAAAGTTTTAAAGAGATTTTTGTGTTTTTCTAAGTTGAATTTTTTTGTAGAGCTATATATTTTTTTAAATGATAAAAGTTATAAAAACCAAAAGTGAAAGCTAAATGTTTTGACTGGTAAAACACAAAGTGTTTGTTTTGACCTGCAGGGGGCAGTGTTCTCTCTCTGTCTCTCTCTCTCTGTCTGTCTGACAGCTTTGGCCTGGATAAAGATGAGACTCTGGCTGAGCACTAAAAATAACCCGAGTGCGGTTCAGGGGACAGACCATGAATTATGAGCAGGCCTGAGAAATTAAATATAAGGCAACGAGACAAAAGAAAAACAGGGTTTTATTCAGACTGCTCACTCAGTTGGTCTTACTTTTTACAAAAGAGGAACTGCTCGGTGCCTGCAGGCTGAGCTGAATGTGCAGAATGGTTTGTGTTTGTGTGTAAAGGCATGTCGTGGTGACTTAAAGTGGTGTGACAGGAGGAGACGGGGACCTTTTAGGAAACAAACGTAGTCCAGATCTGGTGCTCTGATAGAATAGTTCTCATTTTTGAGGACAATGATGGAAGTTAGGAGCCACATTTAAATGTTTTTAAGAGCAAAGTTTCTTATTTTCACACTCCAATGTTGCCCTGAACACTCAGACTTAAAATAAAAAATAAATTCCTGAGGGTCGTCAACCAGAACAGCCCAACGKTTAGGGCCTGGAGGAGTCCAGGAGACTCCATCGCCTGAAGTTTTCCTCCCAGGATCACCTGGAAGTAAAACTTGTTCAGATTAAAACTGATAATACGTAATAAATCTGTTTTTTTGTTTTTTGCAGTGAGTACTACTTCAGCATTCACAACCTGGAGCGAGACTTTTTCCTGAGGAGAAAAATGGACGTACAAGGCTTCCTGCCCGTCTCCCTCATCGCCAACTTCCACAGAGTTCAGGCTCTAACCACGGATACCAACCTCATCATGGAGGTGACACTAGCTGTTATCACCTCTGTATCACCAATAATAACCATTAATAACTGTTTATTCTTTCTGTATGTTTGGCTTTAACTACTTCTTCATACTTTGTGCTATTTCAACCGTTCATGTTTCAGAAACTTTCAGCTTATTCGGGAGAAAACTGTGACTTCTGGATTTTGTAATTTTGTAATTTTAATACTTTAAGTGTAACTTTATTTACAAAAAAATCCTTATTAAAACCCACTGAGGTCTGTTCAAATATTTAAAAATGTTCATCGTGCAATATACTGCTACTGCTAAAGCTATTACTGCTGCTGATAGAACCACTAATGCTAATTTTATKAATGCTAATTTCACTACTGCTAATTTACGAACCTAAAACTACAATTTCCAGTACTAGTTTTGCATTGCTAATGCTAATTCTGCTACTGCTATTTTTATGAATCTAAGATTAAAGTTGCTAATGCTAGTTCTTTGAATGCTAATTCTGTTATTGTTAAAACTCCTACTAATAATGCTAATTCAGCTAATGCTAATTATGCTAAAGTTGCTAATACTAGGACTTTGAATGCTAATTCTGTTATTGCTAAAACTCCTACTAATAATGCTAATTCAGCTAATGCTAATTATGCTACTGCCATTTTTACGAATCTAAGACTAATACTGCTAACACTAGTTCTTCGAATGCTAATGCTAATTCTGCTACTGCTTTTTTTTATAAATCTAACACTAAAGTTGCTAATACTAGTTCTTTAAATGTTAATTCTGTTATTGTTAAAACTTTTACTAATAATGCTAATTTAGCTAATGCTAATTCTACTGCTATTTTTACGAATTTAAGACTAATTCTGCTAACACTAGTTCTTCGAATGCTAATAAAAATTCTGTTACTGCTAGATCTACTACTGATATTGATAATTCAGCTAATACTAATTTTACTACTGCTAATTATGCTAATCTAAGACTATTGTTGCAAGATAAAAGTATGAAATGTACAAAAGAACAACAAATAACATTAAACGTACATAATTTACTGCTAAACGCTACCACAATGCTTTCTACAAATGCTTATTGTGCTACTGCTAGAACTACTACTGAAAGCTAGTTTTACTGACGCTAATGCTAACTGCAAATATATTTAATGACAAATTTACTATATATCTTATGTTTGTTTCACCACTGTTAATGCTAGCATTGCTATTGTTTATTCAACTGATGTAATTTTAGTTGAACACCAGGCCTGTGATAAATTTAGCTTTTATTTTTTTACAGTTGGAAGGTAGCCTTTTTTATTATCCTTTAGTTAAAAATTGTCTTTGTTTTCAGCTCAGGTTTATCAGATTTCAGGAAATTAATTCAGAATTTAGCATCAGCGTAGCACTTTAGCAGTTGATTAGATGCGTGTGTCTAACGTTTTTAATCTCACTGAGACTCCAGGCCTCCTGACGTTTCTCTGCCCCTTCAGGCTCTGAAAAGCAGCACAGAAGTGGAGCTGCAGGACGAAAAGATCCGCTGCAAGGTGGAGCCCGAGCGCTGGCCCATCCCCGCTCCGCCCGTCGTGGGTTCGCCTCGCACRGACTTCTCCCAGCTCATCAACTGCCCCGAGTTCGTTCCCCGGCAGAACCTGGCCCCCTCAAACACGGGTCCGTGTTGGACGGTTCTTTCAGAAGAGCGAAGGAACAACAGATTAAACGTCTGACTGTTTGAATCGTTTTGTTTTTTAGCTTCACTGTCCGTGACGGAGCCTTCTCTGGAGTCAGCGCAGCCTGAGGATTTAGTTAACGTCAGCCCCCCCAGCCAGGAGTCCCCGCCAGCACCACCTGAACCCAAAGACCCCCCGGCCCCCAAACCTGACCCTGATGCCTGGATCCAGGTGGAGAAACGCCACCGACAGGGATCTGGAAAACCAAAGGTTGGGATGTCGGAGCTTTTGTAACGTCAACGTTTCCTCCAGTTTTTTTAACAGCTTCGTGTTTCCTGTGTGCGTCAGGGGGAGAACAAGTCGCCCCGCCCGACCCACCAGGCTCCGCCGCAGGCCGAGCCGGACCAGGAGGAGCTGGACTTCATGTTCGACGAGGAGATGGAGCAGCTGGCGCCCAGGAAGAACAAGTTCACGGACTGGTCGGACGAGGACGACTCGGACTACGAGCTGGACGACCAGGACGTCAACAAGATCCTGATCGTCACGCAGACCCCTCCCTACATACGYAAGCACCCCGGCGGGGACCGCACGGGAAGCCACGAGTCCAGGGCCAAGCTCACCACTGAACTGGCCAAAGCCATCAACGATGGGCTGTACTACTACGAGCAGGACCTGTGGAAGGGAGAGGAGCAGGTGGAGTTCATCAGCAAGGTAAAACCACTGTAAACGTAGATTTGACTTGTTTCTGTCGTGGTCCAAATCTGTCTGTCTTCACTTGAAATGTGTCCTCCATTAGATTAAATCAGTGGTTCCCAACCCTGAACGGGGTCCTCGAGAACCAGGGTTTGGAACCACTGGATTAAATCTTAAACAGTGGAGCGGGACAAGAGGGAGGTTACAATGTAGACAAGAAAATAGCGTGCAGGACCAAGAATACAGTTTCAAAAAACAGTGGTCAAACAATAATAATTAAATGAGGCTGCCAGTGTTGCGCACAGCTAAGCTAAAAGTTAGCTTCACTTACCACTTATGTGCTAAAAACAAATCTTAGCTCTGATAATGCTAACCGCTAGACAAATAATAATAGTAATAATTAGTGGAAGCTAACCACTAAACAGATGAAAATAATTAGTGGAAGCTAATGCTAACTGCTAAACATAAAAATAATAATAATTAGTGGAAGCTAACCACTAACCAGATAAAAATAATATTAGTTGAAGCTAACGCTAACTGCTAAACAGATAAAAATAATAATAATTAGTGGAAGATAACCACTAAATAGATAAAAATATTAGTTGAAGCTAACGCTAACTGCTAAACGGATAAAAATAATAATTAGTGGAAGCTAACGCTAACCGTTAAATGGATAAAAATAATAATTTGTGGAAGATAACCACTAAACAGATAAAAATGATAATAGTTTAAGCTAACACTTAACCACTAAATGGATAAAAATAATTAGTGGAAGCTAACGCTAACTGCTAAACATGCAATTAATAAATAATTAGTGGAAGCTAACGCTAACTGCTAAACATGAAAATAATAATAATTAGTGGAAGCTAACGCTAACTGCTAAACATGAAAATAATAATAATCACTGGAAGCTAACCACTAAATAGATAAAAATATTAGTTGAAGCTAACTGCTAAACGGATAAAAATAATAATTTGTGGAGGCTAACGCTAACCGCTAAGACAACTGTCAGATTGGTGGGACTGATTCAAACCTGTTGGTTTTCTTTTGGTTTAATTTGAAACTGGGTGGCTCTGTCTAACTTGTAATGCTTCCAGTTTATCCCTTTCAAAATAAAAGCATGTCTTTGATCATATTTGTATTTTCATGAATGCTATTTGAAGTTAGATGAACAACAAATAGCAAATACTTTCTCTACTACATTGTATACCTTGTCAATTTTTCTACTCTTTATTTAAATATTGTTAGATGTCACCCTATTTTTTTTTTGACGCTTAGTTTTAAGTTTAGCTGCTAAAAATGCTACATGCTAACACACGGTGACACACATCCAGCACTACTTGTAAGAGGGTAGTTTTAATTAATTTGGGATAAACAGTATAAAAATAGAAGATAATAGAACGTAATTTAGTGGAAGCTACTCCGCTAAATACACCCACCACGCTGTACTGCGATAGAAAAGTATTTTCCTGCAATTCTGAGCTGCGTACATTGTATCGTAATAAAGAATGTGTTCTGCAAAGKAAGGATCTGATGGAAAAGTCAGGTGGTGTTGGACTCATTCATTGTTTACATTCTGTTTTAACAAAGCGAGCGTTGGGCTCGTTCTGGGCTCAAAGKTTGTCCCAAAAGTCACGGCACGTGGGAAACCGCACACCTGAACACACAAGAACACAGAAAATAAACRCGCTCCGAGGCCGTCCGCCCCGTGTTTTCCACAGGAGCTGACGTGTCAGGTTCAAAGTTAGTCTGTTGTGTCACACTGGCTTCAGCTGATGTTGGTGTCGGGCGGTCGTACCGGCTTACAGCCGTTATCAGTTCAAACCTTCTGCCTGATTAAGTCCTGCGGGGAGCTGGAGCGCCGCCACCAACGATAAAACGGTGCAAAGTTGATGCAGATTACTAATAATCAGCTTTATCTTTAATGTTTCAAAGCTTCAGTCGTAAATTCCACAGATTTATGTTTTTACACCAATATGTTACCAAATCTTTTTTTACATATGTTCTCATGCAGGACGTGGAGAACTTCAAGAAGCTGAACGTCATCAGCAAAGATGAGTTTGACATCCTCACGCCTAAAGCACCGGTTGACCCAAACCAGGAAGTCCCGCCTCCTCCCATGCCAGGTGGGGCTTTTGTTTCCTTTTTTTGTCACAATGAGGATTTTTTTTTTAATTGAGGAATATTATTTTCAACAAGCAAGTCATGGTTTTAAAACTCAATTTTTATTGGAAATTTCAGCTTAACGTTTGGCATCACAGTGATCYGAAGGGATTTCCCTGCAGCAAAAATGTGGCTAATTTCTGAGGAAATTAAAATAATTAGCAATAAAATGCCTTATTTCTAAAGACATACCTGTTTAAAAAAACTTTAATGTAAAGAGAGATTAGGTAGATTGTATTTACAGCACGGGTCACATTATTGTTTTTGTTTTATTTCAGTTTTTCATGCAGAACAAAAATCTTTTTGCTTCAGAACTAAACACATCATCCTGAAAAATAACAAAAATCAGGAGCAATCCAACAAAACTGTGGCGACTTTTATCAAACGGAACAGAAATATTACAGCTTCTAAAGGAAAAAAAAACATAAATATGAGAAAAATAAAGTCTCTCTGTGTTAAAATGTAATAAAATAGAAGCAGGTTTTAAATTTATTCAAGGCTAGCCTCATAAAAGCTTCATCGTGTCGTTGAGTATTGTATGACGGACACAMCATTGAAGTATTTATCATATTAAAGTATTTGAAGTGTGTTTTCTGGGTTCTCAGTGGACAGCGGCGTGGATCTGGCTCGCTCTCTGCCCACGACGGTTCCGGAGTCGCCCAGCACTTGTCAGCCTCGAACCCCCAGAACGCCACGCACACCCGGACGCCAGGACCCCAACAAGACGCCGCGCTTTTACCCCGTCATGAAGGAGAGCGCCAGCATCGACGGACAGGTGAGCTCCCTGCTCTGAGTGCAGTTACCTGTCCACCTGTTCGTCGTCTTCGCCCAAAGAGACAAGTTTAAATTTCTTGCTCCAGATGCCGAGGAAGAAGAAGACCCGCCACAGTTCCAACCCCCCTCTGGAAGCTCACATCGGCTGGGTGATGGACTCCCGGGAACACCGATCACGTTCCGCATCCATCAGGTAGCCGCATTAAAGGAAGCTAGATGAGCTGAAGTTACAATTCAGTAGCTAAAAGTAGCAACAGGGTACATCAAAAAAATTTAATCAGCAAAAAACGTTTCTAAAAGCTTAAGTTAGGAAAACAGCAGCTAAACTCCTAAATTAGCAAAAGAGTTGTTAAACGATAAACATTAGCTAAAAAAACAAAACTGTAGCTAAAAACAGGAAAATATATCTAAAGGTTAATACTTGTATTATTTTGATTAAAAGCTAAATTTAACAAAATCCTTCACAAATTAAATTTAGCAAAACTGTCACTAAAAGCTACAATTAGCACAACAGTTGCTTAAGTTAGGAAAACAGGTAAATTCTTAAATCAGTGAAAGAAAAGTTAAAAGCTTAAAATAAGCTAAAAATACAAAAAAATTGTAGGTTAAAAACAAAATTAGGAAAACATATCTAAAGGCTAATATTAGCATTATTTTGATTAAAAGCTAAATTTAACTAAATCATAACTAGGTTAAAATTAGCATAAGAGTGGCTAAAAGCTCCAATTGGAGAAATTATAGCTAAAAGCTAAAGTTAGAAAAACATTAACTAAAAGCTTAAATTAGGAAAACAATGGTTGATGTTAGCAAAAAGCTAAAATAAGCAAAATTGTTGTCAGAGGCTAATTCTGCCAAAACTATTGCTAAAAGCTCAAGATAGCTTAAATTAGCAAACCAGTAGCTAAAGCTAAACATTAGCTGAAAGTACCAAAACTGTAGCTGAACACTAAAATTAGTAAAATGCCTCTAAATGCTAATATTAGCAATATTTTGTTAAAAAAAGCTAGATTTATCAAAACGGTACCCAAGTCAAAATTAGCAATAGAGTGGCTAAAGGCTAAAATGGTAAAACAATGCCTAAAAGCTAAAACTGCAAACCTGCTGCTAAAAGCTGCTCTTAAGAACCTGTTACTAAAAGCTAAAGCTAAGAAAAAGTAGCTAAAATCTCAGATTAAAAAAAGTGGTAAATAACTAAAATTAGTGAAGTTAGCAAAGGCTGATTTAAAAAAAATAGTTTCTAAAAGCTAAAGTTAAAAAACTGTATCTAAAATAAATATTAGCAACATTTCAGTTAAAAGCTAAATTTAGTAAAATGGTATCAAATTTATATTAGTAAAATAAGTGTTTGAAGGCTAAATTTAGCTAAACAGTAGGTAACATTTAAATTGTAGCTAAATGCTAAAATTTGCATAGAAGTCTCTAAAAGTAGCATAGCATGACAAAAATACAGCAAGTGATGAACTTTTGAAGGTGAAAAAATCTAATGTATCTTTTCAATAAAAATGTTTCAGTTTTAAAAAAGTACAAAAGAAATGTTTATATTAATGTTCAGATGATCACTAAGTATTCATATTGTGATAATTAATATTTTCCTGTGTTGWGCAGCAGCTCCAACGCCTCTCCGTCAGAAGGAGCTCCGCCCACAGGAGGCTTCGGCTGCACCCCCCAGTCCCTGCCCAAGTTCTGGCATCCGTCCCACGAGCTGCTCCGAGACAACGGCTTCACTCAGCAGGGCTACCACAAGTACCGCCGACGGTGCCTGAACGGTGCGCCGAACAGCTGTTTTACAGAGAAACGTCCACRCGTCCACTCCTAAATCTAATTTTATCGTTCCCCCACCACAGAGAGGAAACGTTTGGGGATCGGCCAGTCTCAGGAGATGAACACTCTGTTCAGGTTTTGGTCCTTCTTCCTCAGGGACAACTTCAACCGGAGGATGTACGAGGAGTTCAAACAGTTCGCTCTGGAAGACGCCAAAGACAACTACAGGTCAGAGAGACGTTCGGCCATGTTTGAGCTCAGATTAGCAGGTGAATTAACGCAGATTAATCTTGTTTTTCTGCCGCAGGTACGGACTGGAGTGCCTCTTCAGATACTACAGCTACGGTTTGGAGAAGAGGTTCAGGTTGGATCTCTTCAAGGACTTCCAGGAGGAGACCCTGAGGGACTTTGAGAAAGGTAACCAGAGACTGGACTCTATCAACCTAAATGATGTTAGCGCAGATGTTTGAGTCGTCTCCGGTTGTTTCCCCCCTCGCCTCCAGGTCAGCTGTACGGACTGGAGAAGTTCTGGGCCTTCCTGAAATACTCAAAAATCAAGAACCAGCCCATAGACCCGAAGCTGCAGGAGCACCTTTCCAAGTTCAAGAATCTGGAGGACTTCAGGGTGGTGGTGAGAATTACTTCAYGTCTTGTCTTTTATCATGTTGGGTTTGTCTGTTAGCATAATATCTGCCTAAACCAGGGGGTTTACTCCGCGGGCCACAGATACTGCAGGTCAGAACATCCAGCAATTACTCTTTATATAAACCAAGTATTACAAAGATCTGTTACCTTTTAAATACTTTATTTTGCTGTATTTATGATTAAAGTAGTGATAATTAAACAAAAACACATTATTATCACATTATCTTATTATCTTATCACATTATCTTATTGACAACAAATATTTTGACATCTCTGACAAAATTTTAAACCAATTTTATTTTCACTTTCATAGTTTTATCTTCAACTGCTTGTAGTTTTAACTGTCCTGAGTTAAAACTAAGATTTACTGACGTTTTTGTAGACACCAAACATGTTTAACTARAAGAACGCAGTAAYTAAAGTAGAAAACCAGGGTTTGAGCTTAAGAGATGAATGAACCAGTTGGTGGGCYGAATGTGGCCCGYGGGCCGCCCRTTGAATRGCCCTGGCCTAAAYCTTGTGAGAGTGATTTCATAGAGCTCAGAGTATGAGTTGGGGATGACTCTCAGCTACAACCACACCAAGTTCTAGCTCAATATCTGTAAAAATGACAGGTTTGCAGCCATGTTTGCGTCAGCCTTCTGTGGCGGCCATCTTGGTCAGGGCAGCCCTGAAAGTTGATGTTAATCCAGTGAATTTGTTCATTTAAATCCTCGACAAATACAATCTTTGTCGTGTCTGCAGCCTCCGACCGGAGAGGACGGAGGCAGGAGGAGGCGCCACTCGTCCTCCGGCGGCGACGAGGCGAGGCGGCGGCGACAATCTGCCAACGTGACCTCGAAGCAAGCCTCCAAGCCCGCCTCCGAGAAAGCACCGGCCGCTCGCGGGAAGAAGCCCGACCCCAGAGGAGGGAAGGAGGACGGCGGAGACCAGGTCAAATGAAGCTTCCTCCTCCCGGCGTGAGTCTGAGCAGAAGGTCTCCGGAGCAAAGCCAACTCGACCGGTTTCAGGGTCGGACCGGTGCCGAGCGCCGTTCGTTTGTTCGCCGTTAAATTTCATGGCTTTTATCGGTGCATTTCATTTTAGAGCAAGCAAATAACGTGCATTCAGCTCGGATCTGTTGGCCTGGCTCATACGAAGAAAAAAAACAAGCCTTTTAACTATCAGATGCCAAACTCTTTGGGAAAATTGTCAATTTTACCAAAATAAGAGCTCATTTTTTTGTGCCTTGATCTTCATCATGAGTTAGTGTGACTAAATTCTGCTTATTTTTTCCTTTATTTTTCTTTTTTWAAGGTCTTCCTAATTCTGAGGGGTTTGTTAACGTGACAACACTTGTGTGAGTTTTATTTTTGACAATCAGGTTTGCAGTTTAAATTTCTGAAGGATCGACCCCGAGGCTCCACTCTGACTGCCAAACAGAGCAGCTAAACAACTCAAATAATGTGTTTTTGATTCAAAACGTCACATTTTCTGTTATTTTTCATGAATTCACCCCACGGTAGATAATTTATTATTCATTTACTTGATTGATGCAATAGTCTTAGGCATTCGCTGCAGTTTTTAAAGGTTTTGCTGTTGAATATAATTAAAATATAAATTGTTTTTGGCTGGAATTATGGGTTTATTGAGTCAATTATGCTTTTTCTTCACTGGACTTAAGAGGTTTTAGAGTTTAAATTTAAAGAAAAAAAAGTAAAAAATGTAAATATTATAAAAAAAATGATTTGCTATTAGAATTATTTGATTTTAGAAAGTGATTTGTTTTCTCAGCATTGTTTTTGAGTGTAATGCATGTTTGATGAATTGTAAAATACACAAAAAAAAGATAAAATAACTGATTGTATGCAGCTGAGTTTGTGTTTATTTTTTCACCGTTTGGTTGGGCGGGCCGTTGACGAGCGTGTCCAACCGGTTTCTGCTCACAGCTCACCTGAGCTCACCTGAAATCTACGTGTTTCAGCAGCTGCAGAGTTTTAGACTCAGAGTTGGTCTAATTCAGGATAAACTAAAGAGTTACCAAAAAATAGTATATGCATGTGTTTTAAGTATACACTAATGATGAACTAAAAAAAATAAAAAGTATACATTCAGTTTACTTTTAATGTATTTATAAGAGATATACTTAATTTATGTTAACTATACTTGCCTTTTACAAAAATTACATTGAAAGTACACTTGGGGGTAAAATATACCACACAWACAGCTCTGGAAACATTCAGAGTACTGCACAGTTTCCCTGTATTTGRTGGAAAGTATTCCATCAAATATTGATTTCTGAACTCTTCCTGAATTCAATCATTAGTTTTGTTGTTTCCAAATGAATGTGATTGGTCTAATCTAGAGTGAATGAAGACTTGGTCTAATCCAGATCAGACTAAGACTTGGTCTAATCTAGAGTGAAYKAAGACTTGGTCTAATCTAGAGTGAACTAAGACTTGGTCTAATCCAGAGTAAATTTAAGACTTGGTCTAATCCAGAGTAAACAAAGACTTGGTCTAATCCAGAGTAAACAAAGACTTGGTCTAATCCAGAGTAAACAAAGACTTGGTCTAATCCAGAGTAAACAAAGACTTTTTCTAATCCAGATCAAACTAAGACTTGGTCTAATCCAGAGTGAACTAAGACTTGGTCTAATCCAGAGTAAACTAAGACTTTTTCCTAATCCAGAGTGAACTAAGACTTGTTCTAATCCAGATCAAACTAAGACTTGGTCTAATCCAGAGTAAACTAAGACATGGTCTAATCCAAAGTGAGTTAAAAGTTGGTCTAGTCCAGAGTGAACTAAGACTTAGTTTAGTCCAGGGGAGTCTGATCCTAGTCCTTAAAGGTTCCTCATTTTTGTCTCATCTGATTTGAGAAAATGAATGTATATCAGGGTTCTGTAGAACCTGAAGACCTGTGGAAAGAAGACAAACATCTAAATCATGCTGGATTAAGTCCTCCTGGACTGAACACCACAGGACCTGGTGTTTGTGGTCAGTCTGAGCTCAAGACAAGATTTTACCTCCACATCTATAAAACTGAGTTAGAGCCATATTTGTGTGTTTGTAATCATGGTGTCTCCAAACCTAACGAGTCAAAGATGCACATCCAATGATTACTTTATAAATGTTTTACTAAAATCCATCAAGTGGCTCGTAAGATATTTTGCTAACAGATGCGAGAATTTACAGCCATTTTTCTTTCATAATTGCTGACAAAATAATTACGTTTTTTATTGTTTTGTCACAGCTTTTTTGTTACCATTTTAGTATTGAAGSGAAGTACAGGTTAGGGTTATACAGTACTACCCTTCTCATAAGAAGCTAGATTTAAGAGTTTGATGCATTTACGTGTTTCACGTAAACCTCACAGTGTGCTCATATGTGATTTTACTTATTATGTATATTTTTGTCTTTTCATTTTTTTATTTATGACATGTGTTTGGTGTCAGTTCGTCTGCATAAACTGCTTATTAACGTGTTTGTATCTAGTTTCGGTGGGGATGTTTCTCTTCGGAAGGCGCGGGACTCACTCAACTGGTGGTCGTCTCGTTCCCGACAGACCATGAACGCAGCACGTCGCCAGGGGCGGGTAGGCGCTAAACTGTGCAGCATGGCGGACGATGGAGACAGTTCGAGCGGACCAGTTGACTCGAGGGGCGGGCGGGGGACACCGGAGGAGTCGGACGGGCTCGGCTTGGGCGGAATGCTGCTGAATATCAGCGTTTTGGTTCTGGTGATGGCCGTTTGCCTGGCGTTGTACCGGCGGTGGGGCAGGCGGCTCGGCGCCGACGCGGCCCAAGGCGCCGAGGCCTCGACGCTCCCCAAGATGCGAAGACGGGACTTCAGTTTGGAGCAGCTGCGGGAGTACGACGGGCTCCAGAACCCCCGCATTCTCATGGCCGTCAACATGAAAGTCTTCGACGTGACGAGCGGTAAAAAGTTTTACGGTAAAGGTGAGTGAGGGGCCGGGCARAGCGGGGTTCGCTGACACGTCGGCGCCTGTTGGTGATTCGGTCTGGACCAGAATTTGAGCTCTTGGCTTTGTGTTGAACGGGATTAGCTGCTAGCTAGCTAAGCAGCGACAACTGTGGCGATGACAACAGATYCAAACTCAACATGTCTGCACAGTAAACTTGAAACACTTTTAGGTTAAAGTTGTTTTACTGGGTCAGCAGTGCCATCGTGCAATCATCTGTTGTGCTAATGCTAACAAGCTAGCCTGTTGACATGCCTGTCAGTGCGGTTCGTGTTGTGTCCTGAACCCGCCTCTTGTTTTCAGGAGCACACCCCTCTGTCTCATGCAAGCTTCTCATTATTCTGATGAATATTTACGTATGAAATTCTGTATCTATTATAAATCTTAAAGGTTTCTGTTTTAGTCACCAAACAGTTCGATCCATCATCGATTTATCTTTATCGATGCATTTCAATTAGCTCAACTAAAGTTAGGATAATTGAACAGGACTATGTCTTAGTTTACGCAATTTAACGCTAATGTGTAAGATGTTATGTCTGATAAAGAGGAGGTAACAAAGTGTAAACAAAGCAGTAATGAACAGGCTGCTGACTAACATTTAGCATGGATGCTAACTTAACGTTAAAAACGCCATTGAAAAGCTAACGCGGCTAGCATCGTGTTCCACGCTGCACAAATCAAACGTTTCAAAGTATTTTCTAAAGACTTTGTTGTTTTGATGAATCTAGTTATTATTTACGGATATTTTAAAGGGAGAAAATGYGTGAAAACTGGATTTTACGGGAAACTACGGTAGCCCTGCTGGGACAAACTACTCTGSTGATTGTCTTACAATAACCACTGTATCGATTTCTGACATTTAAAAATCAATTATTAAATATTTCATGCATGTCAATGATGCAGCTAAAACATTTTTTTCACAACCAAGTCCTAATATCTATTGCAAGCCCATTAAAAACAACATTTTTTATAGATTTTTTTTTTGAAATAACAGGCATTAAGTCCTTCATAATGTGACCAGTCTTAGCATCTCATTATCCTTTAGCTACTTTACCTTACCTATCCTTTAGCTAATTACCTAGTTAACCATTGTAAGCATCTTATAAATGAACGAACAGTGTTTTTTATTTATTTATTTATTTTATAACCATCAGGTCTTCTTTACAATAGCCGTTTGTTTTTCCCTCAGACGGTCCTTACGGCATTTTCGCTGGCCGGGATGCTTCGAGGGGCCTCGCCACCTTCTGCTTGGAGAAAAACGCCCTTAGGGACGAGTACGACGACTTGTCAGACCTCACCGCTGTACAGATGGAGAGTGTGAGGGAGTGGGAAATGCAGTTTATGGGTAGGTTTATGGGTACCAGATGTGTTTATTTTTAGCTGTAAAAACTTGATTTTGTTCAAAATTCACATCCTTTAAATTTTGTTGTGGCAGTGTATGCAGTCGGCTGTAAAAATGAAGAAAATTAAAGATAAACTAGTATACATTTTTATTATATTTACCTTTTTATTTTTTGATGTGTTTTTGCTGATTTTAATGTTTTAGGGCTATTTGTGTTTTAATTGCAGCACTTTGATAACTGTAGCTGTTTTTAAACATACCTTTAACAATTTAATTTGATTAAACCTGTAATAAAACGTTTCTGAATGTGTGTGTATGTGTATATATATATATATATATATATATACATATACACACACACACACACACACAAATGTAACAAACCTTTAATTTAAGGGCAAATACACTACATTATTACGTTTAGCACAAGGCTGTTTAATTGAACATTTCCGTTTTGTTTATTGTTTTAAAATGACTCACCAAAAACTATGAAAGCATAAAAATATTCTGCAGTTTGAAAACACTTTTCTCTGTTTATATGAATATGCAATACTGAATTGCAGGTCTGCATTAAATGTAAACAAAGCCCTCTTGTCTGCAAAACATCTAATCATAAATCCAAACCAATGTGTCCAACTTCTTATTTCTCATGTTTGCCACCATTGTTTGTCATTTCGGCTGTTTTTGTAGCTAAACAAACGTGGTAGTTGATGGTTGAGTTGATCATTTTAGGTTAAAATACTTTTTAGATTCATCCTTTGATTATTTGATACAAGACTAAYGCTTAATAGATAAAAAATTAGCCAATCAAGTTAATCCAAACCAGAGTAATCGCTCTAACTTGTTASACTTACAATTCATGCCTTTCAGAATAAAAGTATTTCTAAATCAATTTTATATTTTTATTATTGWTAAAAGTTAATCAAATAACAAATATGTTCTATACCATATTTTGTTTGTAGACAGTTTTTGTATTCAYTATTTAAATATTAAGTGTTTATTTATTTTTGATGCTCTTAGTTTGAAGTTTAACTGCTAAAGATGCTACATGCAACCTGACACGTCAAGCACTGCTTGTAAGCGAGGATGGTTTTTGTTTAGTTCAGGATAAACAACATAAAAACAGATGTTTTACACTTTTTTTAGTGGACTTAAAATTAGCGTAAGTTATCAGTTTCCAAAGCTAGCAGTAAGCTAGTTSTGCTATTAGCTGATCAGCAGAACTAATCACACAACTGCTCCAAGATCGTCACCATAGTTTATCATTTCAAACAAACATTTGGTAGTTGATAGTTGGGTTGCTTATTTTAGGCC